CTGTGCAAGCGCAAGGACCTGAGTTTGATTCCCGGTCCCAAAAACAGAAAAAAAAAAAAAAAATTCCACTATATGCACATACTATATTTTTATCCATTCACTTGCCTATGGATAGTTGGGTTCCTACCACCTTTTGTCTATTGTGAATGATGCTATGAACATGGATGTACAAATGTGTTTCAGTTTATGCTCTCACCTCTTGTGTGTATACATCCAGATGTGGAATTGCTGGATTATATGGTATTTCTTTTTAATTTTTTAAAAAACTATATAGTTTTCCACAGGCACTGCACCCACCAAATGGAATTTTCTAAACATCTTTTCAGTAGATAATATATTACAAGACTTAAAATTTGAACATCTATTATCAGTAACCATAGATTTCCTCCCATCCTACCACGTTAGGCAACAATTTTGTTTCTGTATATATATTCTTCCAGAGTTTCTGATGCAAATACAGTTTTGTTTTGTTTTGTTTTTTGGTACCGGGGATTGAACACCGGTCCTTGCGCTTGCCCAGCAGGCGGCGAAACCACTGAGCTAAATCCCCGGTCCACAAATACGGTTTTATTTTCTATTTTACTCAAAAAAGTAGTTATACCTCTGTTATATTTTGAAGGTCTTTCCATTTCAAGACACAAAATTACCTCAATCTTTTTTTTGGTACCAGGGATCAAACTCAGGACCTTGCACTTATGAGGCAAGCGCCAGAACCACTGAGCTAAATCCATGGCCCTACCTCAATGTTGTTTTTTGGTACCAGGGATCGAACTCAGGTCCTCGCACTTGTGCAACAGGAACCAAAACCACTGAGCTAAATCCCCAGCACCTCAACCTCTTTTTGCAACTGCACAATATCCTACTATAGATGAATCATATTTATTTAACAAATTAATTACTGATGGACATTTATATTGTTTCCAGTCTTTTGTTAGTCCAAGTAATGCTGCAGTTAGCAGGGTTATAGCAAGTATTATTTTACACATTTGCATTTATATATCTGTGTGGTTAATCCCCAGAAGTGCGATTTGCTAGGTTAAAATTTATATGCTATTGTAATTTTAAAGAAACACATAAATCACCCAGCTGTGCATTCTTCCCATCAGTCATGAATGAGATTGCCCGTTTCTCTGTCTCTCCACTCCCTCCCATCCCCACCCCATCCCCATTCCCCACCCTGGGACAAAAGGCTGCTTTGTCAACAAATTTATCACTTTTGTTGTTGTTGTTGTTTTGTTTTGTTTTGTTGAGACAATGTCTCACTATGCAGTTCAGGCTGGTCTTGAACTCACTATGTAGCTCAGCCCAGACTGGCCTCAAACTCCTAGTGATCCTCTTACCTCAGCTTCCCAAGTGCTGGGATTTCAGGCATGCACACATGTAAACATATGACTCCCTCCCTTAACATTTCCAGTGCTTCTTACCTCCTGTCCTATAGGGAAACACCAATTGGAAGACCTTCAGTAGTGGCAACCCCCCTCTTTTTGCCCCTAACAGGGCCATATTCTGATAAAAGCCTTTGAAAGTTATAATGTTGCTTTTATTTATCGTTTCTAACCCAATTCTGTATGACAACATTGCTTTCTCTCTTCAGGCCTAGTTTTTTGGCAGTTACCAAGTTCTGTTCACTTGCAAAGCCAGAACATCAAAGGGGCCTATTCAGCTATTTTCCCTACCCTCTCTTCCCTTCCCCTCCTCTCCCCTCCCCACCTCTTCCCTTTGTAGTACTGGGGATTGAACCCAGGACCTCCACACTGAG